GACCCGATACCTGGTCTAAGACTCGGCGAGTCTCGTGATTTGAACTCCTGGCCTTGTTTTGTACGCAGCGGTCTGTTTTGTGAATCCCCAACTTTTCTAGGCAGTTGTATCTGATACCTAATAGCATGCTTAAATAGGGCTGTATTTATACTATTATTAGGGAGGCCCACGGTCAAAAAATTTAATTAAGTAGACCGTTGGGTCAAATTGTCAATTAAGAAATTGTTGGGTAAACATAATCCGGAAAGAGACATTATATAATTAAAGTATAAAATATATTATTCACTAATGTATTTTAAAACAATTTTCATTGTTTTTTCAATCATCATTGAAGAAGCTTTTCAAGATATTGGAAGTGTGCACTTAATAGAAAACAATAATATTGAACATGAGTTGACAAAACGCTAAAGCCTATTAAACTGACTGTTAAAGCTCTTAGCAGAAACGATGTTAATCTTGCAACAATCCAATTAGCAATTGATTTTATGTTAAGAAAGTTAAAAGAATCTAATGGTAATTTAAGTAGAGAGCTATTAATGACATAAAAACTCCAATAAATTGCCATTAAAACCAAGATTTAGAAGAGCTATTAGATTCTCTTGTAAATGGTACTATGCCAAAGAAAACAAAAAAACTTACAGATTTATTGAAGAAACTATTCGATAGAAATGAAGAACCGCAAAATACACATTATGAACAGGGACATTCGACTGAATTACTGCATTCGCATCAACACTGGAAGAAAAACTAAATAAATTATTGTATATTTAACACTTAAAAGTATTTTAACTTATATTATATATATATATTTTTAGTACTGTCAAGTTTAATTGGTAGTTTAACACAAGTATAATTATATATAATTATATTTAAGTTAGGCTTTGAAACCGGCTAAAAGATGTTTTATTTACCGAAAAATTTACAATCCTATTTTTTTCAATCGGAGGGAAAACAAAAAATCCAATTATTCTATTGGGAAGTTGCGAAGAAAAAAGACGTATTAGACCCGGACCTGAACCCGGAACCGATAAATATTCATAGGCTCGACTTGGACTCGTCGGGTCCAAAAAGGCCGAGTTTTCTCAAACCCTAGTAGTCTGTCGAGTCTAATTAATCAAAATTCAAAAATAAAAATAATAAATAATATTACAGTTATTAATAAACAAAAATGAAAAAACTACGTGCTATTCAAAAAAAATCATGAAATTTCAGACAAGTAAAGTTTTAGCAAAAGAATTTGAAAACACCCCACAAACTATTGTGATATTGACAGTGCCACGAAAACTTATCAATAACTGAGTAAAATAAATTAATATAGTTTTTCCGCGTACAAGAAATATTTCCGTTGTAGTTTTTTTTATACGCGTGTACAAATACGGAATTTGTACACGCGTATAAAAAAAAAAAAAAAATGGAAAATCACGCCCTCAACTGTCAATTTTCTTTAAATTATTACCAGACCAGATTAAGACCAGTATTTTTTAGCTGATTAAACTAAATAAAATTTTAGTTGTTTTTAACTCACGTTATAGTTAAAATCATATATTTACAATTTGACGTAATTATCTTGACTTATCGGAGTTATCTTTTACAAAAGCACAAAATAATACCTCAAAAAAATTTTATAACTAAGGCCTAGCTAAATTTATAAACAATATAGTTCACAAAGACCCAACTAAATTTATTAATAATTTGAAGTTGTGGACTAAGAGCTAGCAAAACTATTTACAAAATTTGCGATTATACATGTTATAATTTTAATGTGTTGCATTTTTGTAATCCTCTTGGTAACCAATGAGTAGCTTGAGAAAAAATAATCTAAAGAAGCTCGATCGTTTTCAACTTCAAAGCCTAATAAATATTTACAGCCCTAAATAGTAATATCATCATTAAATGGTCTGGTTTTTCAAAAATGTATCATCCTAGTAGGCACAAAAAGTTTTAGACATTTATACAATGTATTAATTGCATTTTAATGTGTTTTATACGTCTTAAACACGTTTTGTGTCTACTAGGATTTTCAGCATTGTTTATGGGTAATGTTAATACTTTTTTTTTTTACTTTATTTTTTTTGTTATTTAACAAAAATAATTAACATACATATATACGTAGAACAAAGAAGACAGTAAAATCTCGTCAACAAGCACCGTTTTTGTATATACAATATAAGATATAAACTCCTTCATTAACGTTTTTGATTGAAAATTTTTTTTTCTTTATAAAACTTTGCTAGTATAGTTTTGCATGCTTAATTTTTTTTAAACTTTAGAAGATTGCGTACTTGCCAAAGTGATATTATCATAGTTGATGTAGTATAGTTGATGTAGCATAGTTGATGTCGCTATGAGTAAGCTAAAGTATATTAATTTTTAAATATATTATTTTAAAGTAACATAAAGTCAATGGAAATTCTAATATTGTTACTACATTATTAACATTATACATTAAATAACAATATACATTACTATCTAACATATACATTATTATCTATTATAACAATATTATTATATTATAACATATACAATAATATTATATTATTATCTATTATAACAATATTATTATATTATAACAATATACATTATTATCTAACATTGTTACTACATTATACCAATGCTACATCATTTGAAAAAAATAAATTAAATGAAGTTATAGCTGAAATTGAAATAAGCTCTCCAGATATAATTTTCATAACAGAAACATGGTGGAATGATACTTCAGCAACAATTATACCTGGTTATAACCTTTATCGCAGAGACCGAATGAATAGCAAAAGTGGTGGAGTCTGTATTTATGTAAATGACCTAATTGATTCATTTGAAGTCAATAATGAACCCTATAATAATAAAAGTATTGAGCAGATATGGTGTACCATTAAAATGAGTAATGAATCCATATTATGTGGCTGTATTTATAGACCAGGAAGTGATGATTTAGTTAACTTTCAAAATGTAATCAATTCTATTAAAGAAAGTTACAATTACTTCTCAAAAACTAAAATATATACTGAGGTTTTGATATGTGGTGACTTCAATTTTCCATCCTTGAATAGTATATGGAATTCTTGTTATGAAAGTGTCTGCATTGGAGAAAAAGAGAGACAGTTTCTAGAATGCATAGAAGAATGTTATCTCACACAACATGTAAAAAAACCAACATTTCAATTAAATGACACAAAATTAACAAATATATTAGATTTAGTATTTACAGCTTCTCCTTTTCGCATATCCAGCTTGGTACATATGGATCCTTTGGGGAAAACAAAAAGAGGTCATCATGTTTTAAATTTTAATTTTAATTATCAATTACATAATCGCAAAAATGAAAGTATTACTACAAAGCGAGTATACATGAAAGGAAGTTATCATGAATTTTCAAAATATTTAAATAAATTTAACTGGAGTCATGAGTTTTCTGGACTTAATGTTGATCAGTGTTATGAAAGTTTTATTAGAACTATTGAAAACGGCAGTAAAGATTTCATACTGTCATTTAATCAAAAACAACTGAAAGCAAAAGATCCTTATGGATGAATAAAGAATTAAAACACGAAATTCGACTTAAGCGTAACCTTTGGTATCGATACAAAGCCTCTCATTTCAAAAATTTAGATCTTAAGGAAGAATATAAACTAAAAAATAAGTTAGTTAAAAAACTTGTAAAGATTACAATACAAAAATATGAAAATAAAATTGCAACAGAATCGAAAAAAAATCCAAAACAAGTTTATGCTTATATTAACAGTAAACTAAAAGCTAAAGACCATATAAGAGCAATTTCAATTGAAAACAATGAAATTTCAACTGACAGTCAAGTTATTGCTAATCAGTTAAATCGGTTTTTCAATTCTGTATTCATAAACGAAAGCCTAATTAATATGCCTACATGTGAAAATATAACAGAAAAAATTTGCCCAACCCCATTGTTTAATGAGAAAGATATTAAAAAACGGTTATTGAATCTATCGATAGAACTCATCCAATGTTTTTAAGTAAGTGTGCTGACAGTTTAGCTAGACCACTCTGTATGATATTTAACCAATCATTTCTAACTGGAACATTGCCTACAAGCTGGTTAAAAGCAAATATCACTCCAATTTTTAAAAATGGGGTAGGTTGAATGCAGGTAACTACCGTCCAATTTCATTGACCTCTGTTGTTTGTAAAGTAATGAAAAGTATTGTTAAGGATAAAATAAAGAACCATTTAAATAAAAATAAGTTATTAATACCAGAACAACACGGATTCATTAAATCAAAAAATTGTGTAACAAACCTTCTCGAGACATTAGACATAATAACAGAAGCAATAAATTGTGGAAAATGTGTTGATGTTGCCTTTTTAGATTTTTCTAAGGCATTTGATTCAGTTCCGCATTCCAGGCTGCTCTTGAAACTTAAGTCATTTGGTATTGTCGGAAAATTGTTGCAATGGTGTAAAGCTTTTTTAGCAAATCGAAAACAGAGAGTTGTTTGGGACTGTTTGAATCAGAATGGGAAACAGTTCGTAGTGGGGTACCACAAGGATTGGTCTTAGGACCCTTACTTTTTATAATTTATATAAATGATTTAACAAAAAAATTGAATAATAAAGCAAAACTATATGCAGACGATTTAAAAATAATTGCAGTTCTAGAAAAAAATAAAATAAACAACTCTCTACAGTTGGATCTTGACATCTTATTTAACTGGACTAAAAGATGGCTTATCAGTTTTAATAAAGATAAATGTAAAATCATGCATTTTGGTCGTGATAATCCGAAAATAAAGTATAATTTAAAATATAATGCTACAGAAACAGAGATTATTCAACATGGACTAATAGTAACGTCATTGGAAAGAGACCTTGATGTTTATATTTCAGACAATTTAAAATGGGAAGACCACATTGAAAAAATGGTAAGTAAGGCGAATCAAAAATTGGGTATGTTAAAGCACGCAATCCTCTATCCAGATGAAACATCAACAAAATTGTTATATATGTCACTCGTTCGGCCACACTTAGAACATGCTTTTCAAGTGTGGAACCCATATTTTATTAAAGATATAAACTTAATAGAAAAAATTCAGCAAAAAGCTACAAAATTTGGCTACAAAAAAAAGAAAGACAGTTACGAGCAAAGATTAGAGAAAATGGACTTACAAATCTATCAAAGAGAAGGGAAAAAGGTGATCTTATCCAAATGTACAAATTCATGAACAAAATTGATACTATCAATTGGCATCGTGAACCAGAAGTATTGGGTAGGCTAACTAGAGGACACAATCAAAGGTTGCGAAGGCAGTATGTTCAAAACTTTTTGCCGAGGCATCATTTCTTCACTAACCGTATAGTTGAAAATTGGAATCGTTTGGACAGTGAAGTTGTTAACGCTAATTCAGTAATTGATTTTAAAAATAAACTTAAAAAGTTTAGCGAAAAACAGTTGTTAAAATCTAACATCTACAGTTGTTAGATTCTTTCTTGAAACTCTCAAGAACACAGCTTCAATTATTATTATTATTATTATTATTATTATTATTATTATTATTATTATTATTATTATTATTATTATTATTATATTATAGCACCTGCTTTTCTTAAGTATAACAGATTAGAGTTTAGCACCTTCAATAATTTAATTGCATTCAAAATTGCATAGTTCCCACTATAAGAGTCTAGGAAATTTTTTTTAATAAATTACAAACGGGAACTTTAAAGTAAATACATTAATTACTTGATATAATGGTTTTCGAACACTAGTGAAACACAAGCTGTTTTAGGACTCCGTACTTAGCATCTATTTTATGGTACTCTGCATCGTTTTTTTTTTCTTGGTATTTTAAATAGATCCAAAAAATAAATAAAAAATTTATATATTAAAATTTTTTCTTACAGGAGTTCATAATATGGCGTGGCCTGAGAGCGTTAAGGGACTGACTTCGGCAGGAATAAAATCAGTAAGTTTAGCTAACAATCATATTAGCGATTATGGTGATGAATCAGTCAACCTGACAATGCAAATCCTCTCAGCTAATAAAATTGAATTTGTTGGATTAACTAACGGAAAAAATTCGCCATATTCGCCTCAGGTACGTTACATTGATAAGTTTCCCACACTCGTTCACCTCGTCACAATGATAAACTTAGCTCATGCCTATTAGCGTAGCAATAAGTTATGTCTCCCCTTCCCCTCCCGCAAATATTTCATATGAAACACACACCCTTTCCCCTCCTACAAAAAAGTTATACAGTTAAAGCATACAAAACTTGTTGAGACAAATTAGCGTTTTTTGAGACAAAAGTGTTTAGTGATTTTTGATGGAAGAGTTATTTCATAGGATAAAACAACTAGATTAGATGTACCTAAAATTTTTTAAAATTATTTTAATTACTTTAGCTTTAATTTCGCACTTGCGTTAAAGACATAAAAAAGTTGTATTTTATTTTCATGATTTATAAATTATAGTAATTTATTTAAATGTTTAGATAAAAATTAAAATGTTGCTATTTGAAGTATAACAACAAACAATATATATATTTTGAAATAATAGTTTACATTTCATGGTAGTTTACTAATTGTACGAGTACTAATCAAAGGTAAACACCAATTAAATAATAATAGCAATCATATAATAATAATAATAATAATAATGATAATAGCAATAATAATAATAGCAACAAAAGCAATAATAGTAATAATAATAATAACAATGAAGTTAACAACAATAGTAACAACAATAATAATATTAACAAATATCACATTCATATATTAAACAATTCCAATAAGTAATAATGACGGTAATAAAAATGCAAATAAAATGTAAGTAATATTAACATCACATATAATAATAATACTAATAACAATAGTAATAATAATCTATTATAAGCCTAAGATTTTGCGTATTTTTCTATCAAAAAGTCAAAAAGACGGGTTTTAAATTGTGAAAAAGTGTTGAGGGATTGAAAATGAAAAGGTAAATTATTCCATGATTTTACGCATTGGTTTGTAATAGAATTATCACCGTATTATAATCAAGTTATAATTAAAATTAAAACTATAATCGGAAAGAAATTTCGTATTTCTTAGTTCATTATAATAGTAAAAATTGTTAATGTTGATTCACATGTTATCTTTTATAATCAGTTGCTACGCTGCTGTCAAGGAGCTTTTTTTTCAAAACATATTTTTTATTTTTTTCGTACAAATTATAAGTTATAATATATTACATATACATGTTATATATATTATATGTTTTAATTATAAACTTTTTTACCCTCTTTTTTAAAAACTTTTTCACCTCAGAATTCTTAAATTTATATTTAAAATTTAAATTATTTATTTGTTTGTTTATAAATTATTTTAAGAAACCGCTGATAAAAGAAATAAACGGAATAAAAGTTGGCTTTCTAGGATATTGTGGAGATTATTCAGGAGAATGTAAGTTTTATCGTCCAGGTTTTCAAACAAGTACAGCACTGCTTCGTGAGCCAACTGTTAAATACGATTTACAAAAACTTAAAGTAATTTTTTTTTCAACGTTTTTTTGTTCAGGTGTTTTAGGATATACGTGCGACCAGGGGGGAAGTGGTTAGAGCGTTTGCTTTATAAGCAGGAGATTCAGGTTCGAAACGAGCCTTGGACATATTTTCGCGTCACGGTAAGGAAGGAGGCGTGAATTTCCTGGTTAAATGCACTTCCGCGGTGCTCTTCATATATATATATATATATATTATATATATATATATATATATATATATATATATATATATATATATATATATACATATATATACATATATATATAATATATATATATATATATATATATATATATGTATATATATATATAAAAGAAGCAGTGCTGTATATATATATATATATATATATATATATATATATATATATATATATATATATAAAAAGAAGCAGTGCTGTATATATATATATATATATATATATATATATATATATATATATATATATATATATATATATATATATATATATATATATATATATATATATATATATATATATATATATATATATATATATATATATATATATATATATATATATATATATATACAGCACTGCTTCTTATATATATATATATATATATATATATATATATATATATATATATACAGCACTGCTTCTTTTATATATATATATATATATATATATATATATATATATATATATATATAATATATATATATATATATATATATATATATATATATATGTATACGTATTAGTGCTTGCATATAACTTCGCGAGAGTGCTCGATGAATTAAAGTAAATTAAAATGATTTAAATTAAAACAGAGCTGTATTTGCATATATTATTTATAAATAAAACTGCATATTTTTCACAACTATAAGTTTCATGCTAAATGCAATCGTCAGGTGTAAATAAATTTTTTTTTTTTTGTGAAAAAATAATAAATCTGTACAAAACTAACTAGAAAATTAACTCATTTTCTTTTGAACAGATTTATTATTTTTTCACGAGGAAAAAAAAAACATATTTACACCTGATAATTGCATTTAGCATGAAACCATAGTCATAATATACAAATATATAATATATAAAAATATATCTGATTCTAGATCTAATATGAAGTAATCGAAGCACTGTTTATCTGTTGAGTTCGCCATTTTTTAGATTTTTGTGCACTTATTGGTAGTCTGAGCACGATAAATAAACGATTTTCAACATAAATTCAAAGTTTTAAATTTTATTGTTTAAAAACAATAGAATCTTGCGAAAACGGCCCAACTGGCCGGACTATCTGATATTATGACTATGATAAAACTTATAGTTGTGAAAAACATGCAGTTTTATTTATAAATAATATATACATACATATATATATATATAAATATATATATATATATATATATATATATATATATATATATATATATATATATATATATATATATATATATATATATATATATATATATATATATATATATATTTAAAAAGCAACATACTCTGAGTTTTTACATTCAGTTGTAACTAACTGGTTAAGAATTATTGGCTCATTTCTATTTTTACTATGAAAAATATAATGTATAAACACGTTCCTGAATTGGTAATTTTTACCTTTATTTTGTATTTTTTTAATAAAGTTACCGGATTAACTTATAAAACTTCCAGAGTAGTTTATAAAATTAACAGGAAATTAAAAGTCTGGATTTTCTGTATATTTTGACAACGCGGGTCATAATTTCGAGAGAAATTTTGATTGGGGCGGTAAATTAAGACTCTATTGTGAATCAAAATAAGAAATTCTGAACTAAAGTATTGTTCTCCAAAAAAAAAATTTTTTAAGAAGTTTGCGCAAAGATATTTATAATATTGCTATTGACATCAGTGAATATTTAAAGATTTAAGAACAAGTGACCTAAACATGTGTCAAAAATAAAGTGACCTAAAGTCATCAGAGGTAGTATTGAAATCAATACCATAAAGTGTTTTGAAACTAGATAGGGATATCTTTTGCTCCAATGATTGATGGGTATCGAACTGTCATATTCTTGATTGACTGTTTTTAAAAAATGGAAAGCAACCAAACCAATCAAGGACGACTTAGCTCAAACTATTGTTAAATTTTTGTGCAATAAATCCGAATAAATGAGCGGGAATTATAATTTTAAATAAATCCGAATAAATAGATCGGGAATTCCTAGTAAGATATGTAAGAAACTACGCAAATTAACTGGAGTAGAACAAAGATATTCAACACCCGCAGTGGAATTTATTTGGTAAAACATCATACCCGAAGCTAATCATGAAATATGACCACAAATTATTAAGGATACTCTTTTTGCTCACCGCGTAGGTCAACATTCTTCTACCAACTACTATCGATTTATGCTGATGGATGACCACAGGCTTGTTTTGCCAATTCATGTGAAACATAACCTAAATAAAAATGAAAGCAATAAACAAGATAACAAAGAAGGAGATGCTGATGAAGAGCAGCTGACATGTTAAATTTTTTGATGCCATTTTTTCATCAGAAACGATAGTAAAGACAACACTTTCGGATAAAGTACACAAAAAAATAACGCTGCGGAGAAAAAAAACGTGGAAGAAATTGTGTTAGTAAAAAATAACCAATGATTTGTGAAGTTTTCACAAAAATGGCTTGGTCTTTACATTTTTATGATCATATCTGAAAAAAGAGTTGCAATTAAAAAAAAAAAAAAAATGAATTGATTTTAAGAATGTATACAACATTGTTTAGTATAAACTTTATATACAGGAATGACAATTAAAATTAATATTAAATGAATGACTTGAAAGTTTTCGGAATCGTGCACCAAACGAAATTATTGAGATGATTTTACTTTATACCGTGCAACAATCGGAGAATTTTCTTCCATGATGTCGCGTCGATTTTATACTTGCGAAGGTCTCCACACAATTGTGAGACCTTTGTAAGTATGAAATTGACGTGACATAAATTGCTCCTATAATTAAAGATACGTGGATCGTGACGTGGAACGTGACGTGGATCGTGACGTGGAAACGCGAAAATCCTTTAAATCATAACAATAACAAAAATATTGTAAGTAAAACAAAAGATTTTAAGATCTTATGGAAAAATCCAGTGAACTAGATTACCGTTTATCAAATTTTATAGGTTATGATAATTGGATTATTTCTTGGTTTATCTAGACGCTTTGAAAAGATTTCTAGTTATGTATTATAAATCAAATTTTTTTATAAACGGAATTGTCAGCCAAGTCAATCATCCTTGCAAGTTTTTTAGATAAAGAATGAGCTTTATAAGTTCAAAAAAGTCTCTCCACTCTTCACCCATCAACCACTCAACTCCTTAACCACGATCTCAACCACTAAACACCCCTGCAATAGTTTATTATTCTATTTATCAAACACAGTAAAAAAAAAAACCGTTGTACTTTTAAAAAAACATAAAGGTAGATTTCGTGTTTTGTAACGGGTAATTACCGTTATGCTCAATGTGTAATTTGTATGAAGAAAACATTTTTTTACGAATTATAAATAAATAACAGGAAATTATCTGTTATGTTTAATTTAATAACTTTTGAAGTTAAAAAGGAAATTTTAATAAAGTAAGAATATGCTTTTGTTATCCACTATATACATGCATATATATATATATATATATATATATATATATATATATATATATATATATATATATATATATATATATATATATATATATATATATATATATATATATATATATATATATATATATATATATATATATATATATATATATATATATATATATATATATATATATATATATATATATATATATATGTATATATATATATATATATATATATATACATTCTATACTTGGGATACTCAAAAGAACTTTTAAAAAATGGAATCCAACTATGTTCGTGAAGCTCTATACAGCATATGTAAGACCGATATTGGAGTACTGTGCACCAATTTGGTGCCCTTTTCTTCTAAAGGACATTAAAAAGTTAGAGTCGGTCCAACGAAGAGCTACCAAACTCGTTCCACAATTTCGCAGCTTGAATTACAAGAAACGATTAGCATATCTAGGTCTCAGCTCATTAGCTGAACGTCAAACAAGAGGAGATGTAATTCAATTTTTTAAAATTTATAAAAAATTAAATATTGTTAACTGGCAACAGCAGATTAACAGAGCAAGTGCACTCCTATGTGATGGTCCTGCAGGTCATCTTCGTGGTACCAAGCATAAAATTGATCGAGAATTATCGAAAAACTCTCAAAGACATAAATTCTTTAGAAACCGAGTGGTGTCATCGTGGAACGCTTTGCCTGCTTCGGTAGTTGCTGCAAATTCAGTTGATCGTTTCAAAAACAATTATGACAAATGGAATCGTTCTATCTCACGTCAGTCATATATATATATATATATATATATATATATATATATATATATATATATATATATATATATATATATATATATATATATATATATATATATATATATATATATATATAGATGATGATGTATATTTATATATATATGTATATATATAAATATACATCATCATAGATTGACCGTTACCATAACCTAAAATTATATAGATTATGTAAGGTACAAAGTAAAGCTCAAAGTATTTTTGAAATACCCTGTTCCATAAATGCAAAAATTTGAATTTTTATGTACTTTTTAGACTGCTGGGTCCAAATTTTCATCTTGAAAAAATCAAATGAAAAAAGTATTTTTTGTTTTCTATTAATACAAGTAAAAGTATTAATAGAAAACAAAAATACTTTTTTCATTTGATTTTGCTACTTTGCCATTTCCGAGAAAATGAAATTGCGCTTCTTGGTCATACCCTTAATATTAACCCATGCATACAAACATACATGTATGTAACATACATACATGTATGTAACATACATAAAATTAATAAAGATATCTAGTATTTTGACAACATAACTATTCTTTTTTTTCAGCTTTATTTTTAAATATGTACACATTTTACATTGCTAT